TCATCACAGAATTCACAAACCACACAATAGAGCAACACCAAAATAAGCCAGAAATCCATGAGTTGGTTTCCTTAGCAGCTAGTGAAGCAATTTGAAAGTAACTCATTGTGCAGTGCCGGCGGGAATGGTGTGCACCGTTCTCTGTGGAGACATCTGGCAGTGACTCAGAAATGGAAACTTCCCACCTGACCCAACAGTCCATTCTGGAACTTGCTCCAGAGAACAAGCAGGGTCTCAGGACGACGTGCCCAGCCATGTGCTTAGCAGCATTCCCCAGGGACAGTGGTCACAGGCATAGTGTCCCCTGCTGCATGAAAGGATAAGCAAAAGCCCCCCCGTTCGCACAATGCTGTATTTGAAAAAAGAAGGAAATCCTGTCACACGCATGAACATAGATGAACTTTGGGGACATTCAGTGAAATAAACTAATCAGAAGAGATGCCTGTGTGACCCTACTTATCTGGGAGGCAAATGCGTCAGAATAGATTGGTGGTGACTGGTGAGGGGACTTGGTGCTCAGTGGGTTTGAATTTCTGCCTGAACCGTCGAGCATTTTCTGGAGGGACGTGGCTGTGGTTCCAGTTGGGCTGTGCTTAAGCTGCTACCCTGTGCCCTTCAACATGCTTAACACGGGGCTAGAGCGCATGGGAGCACATGCTTATATGCAGAAGTCTGGATCAGTCCCACATACCACATGGTTGCCGAGTACCCCGGGCACACCCCCACCCCAAGAAAAGTGTAGATGGTAAATTTTGTTGTATATGTAAATGGATTATCTTTCAAATAGCATGATTTAATGTAAAATGAAGTATGTAGTCAGTCTGTTATACAAAAGAATATAAGACATTACACTTTTCCATTCTTCGCGATACCCCAAAGCGTCCCCACAAAATACATTTCTACCTCTAGAAGTTGTGAGATTTTTTTTTTTTTTTTAGGAGATGGGTCGGGAAGAATCCCCAGTAGTACTAAGGGCGGCTCCTGCCCTGTACTGGGATTGAACCCTCTTGTAAGGCATGTGCTCTAGTCCAGCAATGTCTCCCTGCATCCAAGCTTTTAAGTTTTACCTTACTGAGAATTCCGTGAAAAGTTACAGCAAGGCAATTGTGCTGAACAAAGAAATTTCTTTAAGTGGTGATGTACTCCTTGATCTTTTTTTTTGGGGGGTGGGTGGGTCCCGCACAGCAAAGCCTGGCAAGCTACCCATGACATACTCGATACGTCAAAAATAATAAGTCTCACAATGGAGACCCACCTCTGGTTCTAATGCCATCCTAGCCATAATGTTTTTTTTTTTTAGTGAAACACCATGGAAGTGCAGTTGTAAACTTACAAACTTTCATGCTTGGGTTTCAGTTATACAATGATGGAGTACCCATCCTTCCACCAGTGCCCATTCTCCACCACCAATGATCCCAGTAGTCCTCCCACCCCCCACGCCATCACCCCCACCCCATCCCGCCTCTGTGGCAGGGTATTCCCTTTTGCTCACTCTCCTTTAGGGTGTTTGCAATAGAGGTATTGAGTGGCCATCGTGTTCGGTCTATAGTCTACTTTCAGCACGCATCTCACATTCCGAGCGAGTCCTCCAAACATCCCTTCCCTATCTGAGCTGCCTTTTCCCCCAGGATGTGCTGCCGGCTTCCAAGCCATGGAGCAGATCTCCAGGTACTAATCTCAACTATTCTTGGGAATTCGATTCCCATTCGGTTACTTTATATTCCCCAGATGCGTGCAGTCTATGTCTATCCCACTCTTTCTGGCTCATTTCACTTAGCATGATACTTTCCATGTAAAACCACTTGTATGTAAATTTCATAACTTCATCTTTTCTAACAGCTGCATAGTATTCCATTGTGTAGATGTACCAAAGTTTCATTAACCAGTCATCTTTTCTTAGGCACTCAGGTTTTTTCCAAATTTTGGCTATTGTGAACAGTGCAGCAATGAACACAGAAGTGCAGATGTCATTTCAACTGTACTTTTTTGCCTCTCCGGGATATATTCCCAGGAGTGGTATTGCTGGGTCAAATGGGAGCTCAATTTCTAATAATCTTGACACACTTGATTGCAAAAAGAGTGAACGACCAGTCATCCACAGTGCACAGCCTCTGCCTTTGAAGGCTGCCAGCACCATGCACACTCACTGGCCACCTGAGCCTCCCAAGGCTTCTCATAACCTTCTGGTGACCTTTTTGCTCACAGCCTTTCCTTCTTAGGGGAGACTCCTAGGAGGAATTTCAGATTGAAGGGCCTAGTGATCTCTGCTGGTTCCCTACAGCTCTTAGCTCCAAGTTTGGGGGATCAGTCCTCTCCAGCCTCAGAAGCGGCCGTCTCACTTCCTTCCCAGAATTGGGAGCCTCCACTTTCTTGCACCTTTGGGATTTGGGGCTCCTTGCCCCCCAAGTTCTTGGCCAGTTGGGCCTTTGGTTTAATGTGAGATCCTGAGGATGTGCTTCTGCTTGGGCCCTTGTGATGCCTGAGGCTGGCCACGTGCGTGGCATGTGTACCTTTTTATTTTAAAATTTTATAATTTTAAAATTTTAAAATAATTAGGTTCATTTCTGTTCTAAGTTTTATTTCCTTCCTTTTGCCTGCTTTGGGCTTCTTTCTAGTTTCTTAAGCCTTATGGTTACTGAGCATGCAACTGACCCGGGGTTTGATTCCTCCATCCCTCTCGGAGAGCCAAGAGTATCCCACCTGCACAGCAGAGCCTGGCAAGCTCTCGATGGCTTATTCGATATGCCAAAAACGGTAACAAGAATGTCTTTAGGCTTACAGAAAGGCATAAAAACAGTACCGGGTATGGGGGACTGGAGCAATAACACAGCAGGTAGGGCGTTTGCCTTGCACGCGGCCGACCCAGGTTCGATTCCCAGCATCCCATAAGGTCTCCCGAGCACCGTCCGGAGTAATTCCTGAGTACATGTGCCAGGAGTAACCCCTGTGCATCGCTGGGTGTGATCCAAAAAGCCAAACAAAACAAAACAGTACTAGGGGCTTCCTTATGCCTAAACCATCTACCCTATTCAACCACGCTCTGAAATCTTAGCCTGTTTGACCCCAGGAGTAAGTTCTGAGCACCTCAGGGTGTCAGCCAAATCCCCTGTCCCCCAATTATCCGGCAAACATTTTTGTGGAGACCTCATTTGAGGGTGCTCAGCGATAACTTTGTTGATTATTGGGCAACTAGGTCAGCCTCATTCAAGGCTTTACCTGCTCACCCCACCTGGTCTCCAGAGCACTGCACCAGTAGTAATCCCCTGGTACCATGGGTGTGGCCCCCAAATAAAACTGGTCAGGTGTTTTTCTGAACGACTCTTTTGGGGGTTGTCAGATGTTTTCCCTTGGTTTGGCAGAGAGCATGTGTTTTGGGAAACAAGACCAAAGGAAAATGCCCTCTCATTACTTCTATCAAGGATGGGTGTTCTCAAGATGACTTCATTTGGATGAGGTCGCGTCTGTGAGGTTTCAGTACTGTTGCTTTTTGGGTCACACCCAGTGATGCTCAGGGGTTATTCCTGGCTCTGCACTCAGGAATTACTCCAGGAAATGGTTGGGGGACCTTATAGGATACCAGAGATCTTAACCTGGGTCGGCCACATGCAAGCCAAATGGCCTACCTGAGGGCGGTCACTGTGCCTTCACATTTAAGGAAGGAGTGTTAGGTGCGCCCCCCCTCATCCCCCATTCATCACAAGGGAAGGGCTGAGAGTAGCTGCAGAACTTAGAATGCTTCTGCATGGAGAAAACTTGCTTCTCCCATGTGATCAATATACAATGGGTATTCATTTTATGGGCTAGAGCGATAGCACAGTGGTAGGGCATTTGCCTTGTGCGCAGCCAGCCCGGCCAAGCGGGGTTGATTCCTTTGCCCCTCTCGGAAAGCCTGGCAAGCTACCGAGAGTACTTCACCCATAGCAAAGCCTGGCAAGCTACCCGTGATGTATTCGATATGCCAAACACAGTAACAAGTCTCAAAATGGAGATGTTACTGAGCCCGCTCGAGCAAATCAATGAATGGGAGGACAGTTTGATTTTTATCCATTTTATACTGCATATTATAAGCTAGTGTTCTGGGAATAATAGGGACTTTGGGCTACACCTGGCTCTGCTCAGGGAATTATGTCTGGTTGCCAGGGATTGAACCAGCAGCATGCAATGCAAGTGCATTAATGCCTCATACTGTTTCTGATGGACTGGAGCGATAGCACAGCTGGTCGGGCATGTGCCTTGCATGCATCTGACTTGAGTTTGATTCCTCCCTCCCTCTCAGAGAGCCCGGCAAGCTACCGAGAGTATCCTGCCTGCATGGCAGAGCCTGGCAAGGTCCCTGTGGCGTATTCGATATGCCAAAAATGGTAACAAGTCTCACAGTGGAGACATTACTGGTGCCCACTCGAGCAAATCAGTGCTACCATTACTGATAAGAGTAGCACTTCATCATGAGGCTTAATTCTTCCTTAAAAACTTGCCTAAGACCAAGATGATCTCAATTATGAATTTTGGTGCTTCTTGTTTAAATCTAGGCATATTCCCTATTCTTGACTGCAAAGACTAGCATCTAGAAAAAATTGGGTGGTTATGGTATAGTTCCATTGTTATCAAATACTGAGTACCTGCAGAGTGCTAGACTTATTTTTGCATCCAAGTGATGGAAGAACCCATGAATTCTAATACTGTATTTCAGTTTTTTCTCCCATATTTGACTTTAAGCAGTAGTAGAGTAGTAATTTCCTCACTTCTGCTTACAGTCTCCAGTCTAACTTTTTGCTATCATCTCTCTCAAAGTCCCCCAGTAACATTTTAGACTTTCTTCTTCTCATCTGTAGGAAGTGGAGCCCGAGTTAACTAGCATATTCTCCTACCCAGATAGTTAAACCTAAAAACGCCCCCATTCCTTGTACCCACACAAAGGTAAAAGCAGCCCAAGGTTAGGTGTATGGAGGTCATCGCGGAACACTCCCATCCCTCCCTCAGAACAGGCAACACACTGCAGCTTATCGTAGAATAGATTTATTTACCTGAAACCATGTCTGTGCGATGCTTGTTACCAGCACAGAAATAACTGATCTCTATTTACAGTCTAGTCAAACATGCGTTGTGATAAATTGACATTTAGCATTTTATTAAGATAAATGCATCACAATAGTTGTATTGCACCACATCTGTCTACTGCTTCTGATTTCATTAAATAAGTTACATTTGATACAGTGCAAAATAGCTGTTTGCACACTCAAAAAATAACAAGTTAACTGAAGGCCTACATTTTAACCATTCAACACCTGTAGTGTTTCCATAAATTTATAAATAAGCAAACTGTACAGGGCCAATTAAAAAGTAGCATTTCATTAACAGTGTAGAGAAATCTGGCTACTTACAACTGAAGGCATGCATTACAATTGATTAAACATTTTTATAAGCTATGACATTTTGCACAGAAAAATATGGAGACTTGGCTGATGGCTTCTAAGGTTTCAGAACCTTCTTGCGGCAAAGAAACCAAATTTCTCTGGAGAGACTTTCTGATTGAGTTAAATTGTACATTTGTAATTACTTTAAAAGCTAAAACCCCCACTGGTAATACACATTTCCTCCACATAACACACAAGGAGTCGGGGGCTTTTTTCTACTTTTCTTTTCCCCCAACCTCAATCATGCAGAGGGCTGGTAGATGTGTTGCTAAAAACGCACATGCACGCAACCGAACGCCCTTATATTTCTGCAAAATGGTTTAGGAAGCGGTTACTCCAGTATTGCTGAAAAGGAAAAAGAGAGGAAATCAGCTTTATGAAACATGGGGTGAAAAAGTTAGAGTAACTATTAAGACGAATGGTGACAGATTAAAGGAATGCTCAGTTTGATCTTCTAAGGCCAGCATTTCGCACTGAACTGTCCCTGAGGCACTGCCCACACGGGGTAGCGTATTGCGTGCACTGGACATCGACTCCTCTTTGTGTGTGTATCTGGCTACACCCCGGAGGCTACCACGGACTCACAGGAGACTCCCACCAGGCAGACACTTCACTGCAGCAGCAGAAGGGAGGGATGGGTTAACAGTGCAGAGGGTGAGGACGCTAAACAAGGGAGTGAGCAGTGTAGCATTGGGCGCCACCTTCTTTCCCCAGGGACCAGCCCAGCTCGGTCCTAGAAGGGCAGGCTACGCTGCAGATTCCCTTTACAGGCAGCGCGGTGTCACGGTGCCTCGTGTCGGTGTGCCAGAACTGGGTAGTTAGACAAAGGGCTCTGAGTGCATGCTTTGAGACAGGCCCGAGCTCAGTCCTGGCCACCCATGCATGCACTGCCAGGAACGACCCGGTGCACCATGCCAGGTGAGGTGTGCCCCTCCTCCTCCCCCCGCTTTGAAACAATTTTAGTTCTTGTGCACTGCAGAGGCACATACTCTGGGCGCGTGCTCCACAGACAAAGAGCTAGTGCTTCTGTCTGGTATTTCTGAGGTCTCGGGGTGAGGCCCCAGTCTGAGGGGGGATGTTACCCCCTCCTCTGTGAGCTCTCCCTGTGGGAGAAATCTATCTGAGCTGTGGAACAAGCTACTGCAGCGAATCCACTCTTGGGGGCCCCCTGGTGGGATGGGCCTGATGGGGCCTGATTCCCCACCCTCGCGCTGCCTGACAGCATGTGAAGTCTCAGGTGACACAGGTCTAAAGCAGTGAGAAACTGGAGGCAGCAGCTGATCCAGGGCCATTTAGGACTACGCGGGTCTCTTCTACAGCCCCCATCGAGAACAGAATCAGGTGAAACAGCTTTGGCTTGTTTTCCCCGAGAGCCACACCCACCAGCTCAAGACATACGTCAACTGAACCACTCAGCCCACGCTGTGATGCTAGATTGCTTTGTAAAAGCTGTCAGGCTACCCGGCTGTATCCAAGCTGTAAGGCTGTATTCCCTTAGGCTTCGGGAGCTGGAACAGGGCTGTCCCTTTAGCGTTGGTAGCCTTTTAAGTCACATCTTTGGCGGGGAGACTGGATTTTGCTCCAGAAAGTGGGAAAAGCTGGCTTATTAAGACAGGGTTTGAGTTCCTGTTTCAGTTACTTGCTTTCTTTTTTAAATGAACCAGGTTCTGGGACGAGTTTCTGCAGCTAACAAAGGCCAAACGAACCAATGACAAGACTTTGTGAGTCCATCTCAGCAACAGCAAAGGTACAGTTTCTCTCCCCCTCAGGCTTCTGCTAGTCTCTGTGTCACTCGCCTCAGGTCTGCTATGACCTGGGGTGCACACAGGGCCCGCCTGTCTTCAGCCTGCTACCCCCGATGCCTGAGCATAGGGTTTCTCTCACTAGAGCTTCGCTCATCCGGCTAAGGCATCCAAACCCCAGGGGGAATACTCACGTTAGTTGACGGATGTTGGAAGGCATTGGAGAAAAACACCACAGTTAGGACTGTTAATGACTTATACACTGTTGGTAAGACTGATCTTGAACATGCGCAAACATTTATGATGGTGGTGGTTAGTGCCACAGTCAAATAAAAATAGTTCTATACAATATGTTCATTTGGTCATGTGCTATTTACAGATTTTACAAAACACATACACGCACATACACACACTTGCCCTTATGTTCTCTACACCAGGTTCTCTAAAACAGGCCAGCAGAAACTTGCATAAAATGTACACTGATGACAATTAGTGCCTATACATAAAAAAATAAGAAAATTCCTACAGCTACTAATGCAGCAGAACAGATCTTTCTTCCCCTTTAGCATAGTAAGATTAAAGTCCTAAGAACTTAAGAGAAAGTTGGACATCTATCGCAGTTGAAGCTAAGCCACTTGAAGAGTTAAAAACAAGACCGTTATTTTTCTCTGTCCATTTAAAATGTTTTATTTTCCTGTTTAAACTAGATTATGAAGTGCCACTGGAATAGGCAATGTTGGCAAAACAATGTCTGTTACAATAAAATACATTTAGACATTTAAATAAATAACTTTAAAAACTATGTGAGGGGACATGAACTCATTTGACTGAATCTGGAACAATGTTTTCTGCACAAGCGAGAACAGGCATACCTCTTAAGACCGATGTAAACAGAACCATGGAAACCCTACAGGAGAAGCAGCTGAGCAGGGCCGGGGAGTGGGTGGGGTGAACAGGGTGGAGAGGGTGAGGGGAGCGGCAAATCAAAAAAATACTGACTGAGGTAGCAGTACTCTGCTCAGTGCAGAAAAATTGGCTTATGGTAAAATTAGACTGTGATCTCAGATTAAATCCAAATGATCATGCAAAAGACACAATACATGCTATTTAGTTTTAGAAAAACACCACACACATTCATTTCCTAAAATCTGCTGCCAATTAATTTGCTGACAATGTCTGCTGGCTCAACTATTTTTTTATACAAGGATGTATTAAACAGAACACTGTACATGCTTTTTCATCTACAAAAAAATATTTGCATAAAATAGTGTTAGTTCTCTGTACATGTCAATGGCCACTTTAATTATGTGTATAAAAAAAGGAAAATCTTGCCCCACTGGAGTCAGAAAAAGCAAAACAAAATCTAGAGTATGAAACCTCCTTCACCAGCCAATATGTTCATGTGAAAATTCAGCAGAAATAGACAAGTTGCTTTAAACAATAAAAAAATTAATTGATTAAGTTAAACATCTTCTTTATGTAAAACTGTCAGTCAAGACCAGAACATGTCACTAAAGTTAGTGTCTGTGCTATAGACCCAGATCACCAGGGGCATTATGAGCAGCACAAACGGCCAGGAAATCCCATCGGTGCAAGCCGAAAACGAGCAGGATTTGGTGGCAGGCTGCACACACTCTTTACCAGGTTGTTCCAGATAGTTGCGGGCCACAAACTTGAGTGTCTCATCCATCAGAATCACAGGCAAGGAGATTTTCAGCACCATCAGCCACTGGGTCAAATTCAGTGGTGTGATCTGGAAGATAAGCTGAAACAGCAAAGAGACCTCATCAGATTCCTAAGGCTCAGGAGACAGCGGTGAAAGCCCTCAGCCAGGCCTGGGCACCACTTACGGGCAAGGGCTCCACGTAGAGGATCAGGAAGTGGAGTGACATGGACAAGCAGATGGAGCCCACGAGCCAGATATTCTCCCAAGGAGGCATCCTTAGCAGGGACTGGTTTTCAGACAAGCTGCAAAACAAGGAGAGGCGCGTGAAGTATGCCACCAAGAAGGCAAAGCACCCACCTGTCACCCAAGTGCCCACATCTTAATCATGTTTGTCCACTGACCTAATTCTACCAATTCAAGTTTCTAACTATGGAGACTGTTCAGATGTAGGACAAACCCGATTTAAAAATCTAGGCTTTGGACAGAAGATTCCATTTTTGTGACTGGAAGCTTTTTTCTCAACTGCCCTTGACAGGCTATTTAGATATTTCCATTTTTGTCACCGACTTAATTGGATGATATAATCTGTCTCAGTGCTAGAGGGCAATTGCTCCTTCCCTGTGGGTAGGCAGTCCCTATTTCTGGCCTCTACTCTGAAAGAACATCATTGCTTCCTGGAGATTGAAGATTTTAAAACCATACTGCTTGTTCTCAAAGAACTTTCCTGCGATCCTCACTTAACCATGACACACACAAACCTCCCCATGCCATGGCCACCAGAGCCCCCGCCCCAACTCGCCGAGGAGACGCACTGACCTGTTGAGTGCGTTACACATCTCTATGGTTACTAGCACAGAGAGCGCCATTGTCATTGGGTATGGAGACTCAAAGATTGCACAATCCACGCCTTCAAAGTCCGGATTGTCCTCTTTACACTGTAGGAAATGACTCTGCAATAAAAGTCCAATCAATTTCCTGATGAGCCAGGTAGATTTCTAAAACCCATTCACCAATTCCACAAAGTAGACCATATGAGATCTCAACCCATTTTCCAAAGACCAGTTTCCTCAGAATAATCTTAGATACAGTGCTGAACTGCTAGAGCTGTAAAGTTATTTTGTTTTGGGGCTACACCTCGCTGTGCTCTGGGCTCACTCCACGTTGTGCTTAGGGATCAACTCTTGGTGGGAATCAGACCTGGGTCAGCCACACAGGCAATATAATAAAGTTGTTATTTGACAAGACACCCAAAGCACAAAAAAAGTTCCAGGTAAACCTGATTGGGAGACTTAATGCTCCATCTTAAAGTACAGTAATAAAGACATACCAGCTGGTAGAAGGACACTCTTGGACCACCATCGGCAGCAATGAACCACCAGGCAGCAGCACCCACAGTAGCAGCGCCAACATAACCTGGAAAAAAATAGCAGGACGTTGAGAACAAACGGCAAGTCAACAGTCGGCTGTGTTCACTGTAGGAGTCGCCTCAAAGGCCTATTCCCAAGAGGATTGAGAGGAAAAGATGCTGACAGCAGGACCCTTTGCTGTCACTAGCAGCATCTGCTCAGTTGCATCAGCCAAAGCATCTAGACTGAAGTGTTAAGTGTTTCTGGGCGGAGTACCTTGCACAAGAACCAGGCAAGAACTTCTAGAACCTGTAAGAAAACGTACTAATTGGAATTGGTATGAACTCCGCACTAGCTATGTCCACCTCTAATTAGCAGCCAATAATTATATGCTAAAGGCTGCAGGCACATGTTTCGAGCCAGATGCCAGGAGTTTTTAGTTTTAGGCATACTGGAGCGACAACAACTTTTTTGTTTTTATGCCACACTCGGCATTGCTCAGGGGACCGTATGGTGTGTGAGGATAGAACCCCAAGCCAGGTCACTGGCATGCAAGGCAAATGTCTTGACTGCTGTACTAGTCAATCCAGTCCCTGAAGCAACCAGTTCCAATTTATTTGTTCCACCCAAGGCCTAGCAGAAACTCTATAGAGAAATGCTGCTGAGTGCAGAACCCTGAACAAATACAGCAATGCCTTAATTTTATTCCGAAGCTACCCGCCCCCTGCCCCACACAAGTTGCTTCTGAATTCAGGGAGAATATTACACAAAGAAGCAATGTGGGTCACCCAGAGACATGAAAACAGGACAATGTCCCAACGGATAGATAGCGCCCAACAAAAAGGTACAACTGATTCTACTAGACAAAGCTAGTAGGTGACTGGGAACGGGGATGTAGCAGCAATTCAAGTACTCAGAGTAATTTTAAAAGATCGAAAAGATCAGGTACATTAGACTGCTACACAATGGAGCAGGTTTTTACTGCCTGGGTGCATGTTAATTTTCCCAGTCTCATTAACTGCCTTCTGTAATTTTTTAGGTCACTGAACTATCTTCCAGTTAGTTCTTTTGTTTTCTGGGCACACCTGGTGACCAGAGCTTACTCCTGATGGGTCTTGGGAACCATACGTAGTGCTGGGGATTGAAGCCAGGTCAGCTGCATGCAAGGCAAATGCCTTGCCTGATGGGTAATTGTTCAGTCTTTCTCAGAACTGGCATGACTGCTTTCATTCCTATGGGTGGTATTGAAATTTGAACTCTTTAATCATGCTATGCAAGTGCTTTTGAGCCCGAGTCATCTGATCCCCAAAATCTTTGAAAAATTTTAGCATACCAACACCTATGGGACCCATACGAAGTTACTTAATTGCCCCATGTTTCCCCCTTTCTTTTGGTTTTTGGGCCCACTTGGACGTGTTCAGGGGTCCAGTTAGACTATCTGGTGTGCCAGACTGAACTGGCAAGCTCTCACTGTACTCTGTCTCCAGCCCAAGGCTTCTCCTTTCGTCTCAATGAACCAGGAAGAAACTCAGCACCCTAGGTTAGGAGGAGAGCTGTATCAAGGACATATGTAGGAAAACTTGGCTGGTGGGCCAGGGCTTGAGTTTTACCAATCACTGCTAATGAAGGCATGAATTCTTTCTCTTAACTTAGGAAAAGGTTTGGGGGGGGGGGGGGGGGGGAGTCCAAGAGAGAATAAAGATGCTAAAACAAATGAATAACTTTTACTATAAACAGTCTGCTGAGGGGCTGGAGCAATAGCACAGCGGATAGGGCGTTTGCCTTGCACGTAGCCAACCCAGGTTCGATTCCCAGCATCCCATATGGTCCCCTGAGCACCGGCAGGAGTAATTCCTGAGTGTAGAGCCAGGAGTAACCCCTGTGCATTGCCGGGTGTGATCCAAAAAGCAAAAAAATAACAACAATAAAAATAAACAGTCTGCTGAACTACAAGAGTGCACCCTCCATTATTTATATATTTTTCGCTACTTCATGAGAATGAAAAATACACAAGGGAAAAAAAAAACACAACTACACTCACTTAAACCACATTATAGAAAACTATACTCACAGCCAATAGCCAGGTAACGGAAGAAGAGCCACCCGCTGATCAGTGGTTCCTTTGGGTTCCTGGGTGGTTTATTCATGATGTCTAGATCGGGAGGGTTGAACCCCAATGCAGTGGCAGGCAGGCCATCTGTCACCAGATTGACCCAAAGCAGCTGGACAGGAATTAAAGCCTCAGGAAAGCCAAGGGCCGCTGTCAGGAAAATACTGTTCCCATCCGATGGAAGAGGAAAAACCCAAATTATTTTTGGTCACCATATCCTTTTCAATAGCATTACCAACCCCGTCCTCCGTAAAAACCAATAAACAGTAGATGAAGAAATGTGTTACTTGGCATCGTTAATCTAAACACCCTTCTATGTTAAAGGGTATCTGGCAGACAGTCCCCCAAGAGCTGGATTATCTCTCCCTTCACAAAGGCTTTCTTTGTACGGCCTGGCACCCCCCACCCCAAACTTGCATACAAAGCCCAGTACCGCTGGGCATAAAGCAGACCTGGAAAAGCGGTAATCACAAACCCTGACTTAAGTGACCCAGCACCAGGACGCACCAGACAACTTCCCCCACGTTGGAGGAGATGAGGTAGCGGATGAACTGCTTCATGTTGTTATAGATTGCCCGCCCCTCCTCAACAGCAGCCACGATGGTGGAGAAGTTGTCATCCGCAAGCACCATCTCTGATGCAGTTTTGGCTACTGCAGTACCAGAGCCCATGGCGATGCCGATCTCCGATTTCTTCAGAGCAGGCGCATCATTGACACCGTCTCCAGTCTGAAAGGAAACACAACACCGGTTACTCAGAACTGCCACGGAGCACTTACAGAAAGGCGAGACCGGAACAAAAAATACCTCTTTCGCATTTCAAATCTGAAAGCTACTACTTTACTGGTGAAAATTATACTGCATTTATGTAATTTGAGTCACATATTTAGCGTACATACTCACCATAGCTGTGATCTCATCGAAAGACTGAAGAAATTCTACAATTTTAGACTTGTGAGATGGCTCCACACGAGCGAAACAACGGGCATTCAAGCAGGCATCTCTCTGTGCTGATGGACTGAGCTCATCAAACTCTCGTCCGGTAAAAGCTTTTGATGTCACATCCTCTTCTTGCCCAAAGATGCCAATGCGGCGACAGATGGCTACTGCAGTGCCCTTATTGTCCCCTGTGATCATGATGACCCGGATACCTGCTTGTCGGCACAGTTTTACAGAAGAAGCCACTTCAATTCTTGGGGGGTCCAGCATGCCCACGCAGCCAACGAAAGTCAGATTGGTCTACAGCAAAACAATCGCCTTATGTTAAAACAGAAAATTCTGCTTTCTCCCTTGCTGTGGGCAAGGGCAGGTTATACATTAAGACTCCCAGATTTGCTTACAAAAAAATCTGCACCTTTGACTCTTACCTAACTTAAACAGTTTGGATTTTTGGTTTTGGGGCCACGTGGGTTTAGGGCTCAGGGGTTACTCCTGGTTCTGCACTCAGGAATCATTCCTGGTAGGCTCAGGGACCAGTTGGGAGGCCCGGGATTGAACTCGACTGGCCATGTGCAAGACCACGTGCAAGCACCTTACCGGCTCCAACTCAATGAATAGTATTAATTCTAATCTAATCAGAAACAATAAAAAAATTACATTTTGTAATAATCAGAAATAAGAAAAATGAAACACTTTAAGTGTTTGAAACACGCTATTCTTGTGCAGTATCAAAGCTATTTCCTTGTCCTTTCAGAAAGTCAAGTATGATAAGAACAAATTCTAGAAGCAGAAAAGGAATCTCTCCTAACTCGGATATCTTGGTCCTTAATAAAAGTTTTAAATATTCCCACTTTACAAAAATATTTGTAAAATAACAAGAGGTCATATAAATTTTTATTTTGCTCAAATCATTACGTATTCTATTTTGCAAATAAGACAGTGGCAAACTAAATAAACTACAACGGTGATGGAGTTGGCCTGCAGAGAATAACACCTCACCTCTTTGGGACAAAAAAGACACAAGACTCATTTGGCCTTTTATGAAAGGAAACAGAGGGCAGGGTGGGGGCTGAGTCACTTTCACTAGCTAACCTCATATTTAATGAAGTTGGCAGAGTCCTCAAGGTTCATCTCTTCTCTTCTCAGTGGATTGTCATGAGTCGCCAGTGCCAGGCACCGCAGGGTGTCGCTGCCACTCCCCCATTCCCGGATGACAGACATGATCTTCTGTTTGACCCCAGGGGTCAAAGGGACTTTAGTGCTTCCAACTCGGATGTGGGTGCACCTGTCAATCACGCCCTCAGGAGCACCCTGGAAATGTAAGATTTAGATCAACAATTATTATTTACGATTTACGGGCTAGCCCAGGTTCCTAATCCTGGTAACAAATCTCAGTCACAATGTGAGCTTCACTTGCCTTCACAAACATTTTGCTCATTGATGTCCGGCTTGGTTTGTTCGGTGTACAGTAAACTGACATGGACTTTCTGTCACGTGAAAACTCGAGCGTGAATTCTTTTTTCATCAACTGTTTAATGACCTATATAAAAAGAACACATTTAGAAGTCTTATTTTTTCCTCAGATTCTGAAGCAGGTTTTATTTGAAAACTTTTTACTGAATCACTGTGAATTACAGAACTACCAAGTTATTCATGATTTTAAGGTTTACGGTGTTCCAACACTTCCCTCCACCAGTGTCCACTTCTCCCCACCAATGTTCCCAGTTTCCAACCCTCCACCCCCACCCGGCCTCTCTGTCATGCACCTTTTCTTTTTTCCTCCTAGTTTTAGGCACTGTGGTTCACAGTACTGTTCCTGATAGGCTACTGTGCACATCACTACCTCCTTTCAGCTCCTAGTCCTGGCCCAGTGACCACTTGTCCCATCACTGTCCTAGTGTTCTCTCCCCTGGCCTATCTCACCCACCTCCTCCCATAAACTTCCTACGAGGGACCAATTCTCCAGCTCTGTTTCTATTGCCTTTGGATTTTTATTCCCTACTAATGCTGCTTTATATTCCATGAGTGAAATAATTTATAATCCAATTATATGGCAATTCCATAAATTTTCCACCAATTCAACAAATATTTATTAAGCAGCTATGTCAACTGCTAGACAATTAAAAAGGGACAAGTGTTTGTCCTCATGCAACCTGTCCTCTAGTTTGGGAAAGAGACTAGAATTCAAAGTTTACTATGGAGTAAGCAATGCAGAAAAAGATTTTTGTTTTTGTGCCACACCAAATGGTGCTTAGGACTCAAGGAATCGAATCTGGGCTGGCTATGTTCAAGTCAAGTGTCCTACCTGCTGCACTATTTATTACTCTGGCCTCACAAAATATTTTCTAATGTCCATAATGGAGTCTTCTTTAACTCATGGGTTTAGAGTTTTTTGGTCTGAAATATTTGGGTAATTTGCAAATAATCTTTTTGCTACTGATTCCTGGTTTAGTTTTATTGTGACCAGTAACTTATTTCAATTCCTTTACATCTGCCAACTCTTGATTACTTTGTGGTCAAACAATACAGTCTATGGCGAATGGCCCTCATGCATCTGAAGTCGATTAAAGGATGGATTGTTCAGATCTCCCTTAATGATTCTTTTTTTTTTCCTTTCTGGGTCACACCCAGCAATGCTCAGGGGTTACTCCTGGCTTTGCACTCAGGAATTACTCCTGGTGGTACTTGGGGGACCATATGGGATGCCAGGGATCGAACCTGGGTTGGCCGCATGCAAGGCAAAACGCCCTACCCACTTTGCTATCACTCTGGCAATGATTCTTAATGATCTTCTCTGCTTGTTCTATCTATCACTGAGTAGTTAAGAGAGCACTGCTATCCAGGGCTTGCAAGACTAAACAGAGCTGGGTACTGAATCCAGATCTTCAGGAACAACACACACTCGATGGCTGCCGAGTTCGCTCTCCAGGTTACTGTATGTTCTTCAGATGGGTCACCAGAGGGCTGGAGAAATGGTTCCTGGGCCAAGCGCTTCCCTTGCATGCAGCTGACCCAGGTCGAATGCCTTCCACCACCCACTCCCCCCACAAGCATTACCAAAGTACCAGAAGTAGCCCAGTGTGGCCCAAACACCTCTTGTAAACAATTAAATATAAAGATGTTATTGAGTACATACATATAAATGAAAGACTATTCAGAGCACAAAATCATGGGAACTTTCCTAAGAGTGGATTCAAGAAAATAATTTAAAAGTAAACAGTCATTGTCACTGTCCTCCCGTTGTTCATCGATTTGCTCGAGCGGGTCCAGTAACGTCTCCATTAGAGACTTTGTGGTTACTGTGTTTGGCATATCGAATACATCACGGGTAGCTTGCCAGACTCTGCCATGCGGGCGAGATACTCTCAGTAGCTTGCCGGGCCCTCCGAGAGGGGCGGAGGAATCGAATTCGGGTCGGCCATGTTGGCTGCGTGCAAGGCAAACACCCTGCTAATGTGCTATCGCTCATACCAAAAAAAAATGAATACATAAAGACAGTTTTTTTGAGATGATTATTCTGGGGTTGGAAAAAAGGTGGGGTACTTAATGAAGTAAAAATAAAATAAATAAAGTTTTTAAGATCAAACGTTTTTCTCTGTGCTGACATTAGCAGAGACAGAAAAGTGAAAATCCAAGAGAGGAGGCAGATTTTACGCCTAAGAAAGAGCTGTTTTTGCTAGGAGCAAGGACAGCCTACTCAAAGCACCATGGAAGAAAACGGGCCTCACAGGCAGAGAGCCAGCTACTGATCACTTTCAGTCAAATAACCAGATCACTTTACCTGATGGCTACGGGGCAGGGGATACTGTGCATCTGAGAAGGGCTACAGTTGCCCATGTAAGGCGAGAGTGCATGCACCAAGGATCTAAGTGGCTATGACCAAAGGCAAATACTGACCGAGTTGCAGGCGTTTGCGCGTTCTATTTTAGAGAGACCTTTCAATTCAGTATCAAATACATTCATCTTCTCTACCAGGCAAGTGAGGGCAGTCTCCGTTGCTTCTCCAACTTTTTCATACACACCTTTTGCCTACAGATTGTAAAGACGAGAAAGTCCAAATGAGGGAAGCAGCAAACGAGTACATTTCTCTTCACTGAAATACTTTTCCTTCTCAGGAGGAAAACCTGCATTCCATTACCTTATTGTTCAACAGGCCATTTTTTATCTTACTCTAGAGGACATGATTTTAAATATCAAATTCAAAACAGATGCGAACTCATCTCCCTCAACTGCAGAAAGTCACTTCCCACTATTACTGCAAACAGAGAGTAGGATTTATATAGTAAGAACACAGAATACTATTTTTAATTCTATATTCTGGCTATTGTAAAAGCATCATACTCTGTTCCTCAGGGGTTGGAGAGATTGAGTGCTTGCCTTTCACGTAGCTGGCCCGGGGCCTGATCCCACACACTCCTCAAGCACGGCCAGGAGTGACCCCCGAGTATCAATCATTAGGGGTGACCCCCAAACAGATCAGCAGCAGAGTCCTCCGAAAGTCCTAGTCTGTTTCAAAGATATGCTACTATCCACTTAAGAACTACAGCACGTGGCTTGCAAATGCAGAGGCCCCGAGTTAAATCCCCTGAGCACTACTGGGTATAGCCTTGATTGGTCCCAACAGGAGCAGGCTTGAGCACTAAATTATCAGGCCCAGCTACAGCTACAAGGCTCCCCCCGAAAGGTAATGATGGGAGGTGGGCAGGGACAGGGAGACCCCCCAAATGTAGTTTACTTATACCTATATTTTGGCTTTCTGGGTGATGCTCCGGGGTTACTCCTGTCTCTGTACTTAGAATTACTCTCTGGAGGTGCTCGGGGAACCCTATGAGATGCCAGGGATAGAATCTGGGCTGGATGCTGCAAGGCTATTATTGCCCTACCCGCTGTGTTATTGCTCTGGCCTCTACAAAACCTATACCACTCTTAACTCGCTGAGAGGCTCATATATATATATGAAAGGCTCTTGGTTTTCTGAGTAGGTCACACCTGCCCTGACTGACAAAGATAGTCTCCTGAGAATGTCTGGAAACAGAATGAGAAACCCTTACTTTCCAAAAGGCAGGCGAGCAGGCTGGATTGGATAAAGCCAGCTCTAATTTCTGTTCCGGAAGGAGTCTTACCTCATTGTAATCCAGCGCAGAGTCATTACAAAGAGCACAAATTGTTGCCAACTCTACAAGACCATCATATTGATGACATTTCACTGGCTTATCATCTTTATGCCTATCGAAAGAGAAGATACCATGACAGTACATGTAGTCATCTCTATTGATCTTATGTAATTATGTAATACTTCCATAACATTTTTTAATCATTTGATTTTAACTACAGAATTATTTTGAGATAAACTGTTATGGACTACAGACTGCAAAGCACTGAAAACAATCTGAGTCTTGTCTCTTAGAAATCTGACAGAGATAATAAATGTGCATTTGACATTAGGAATCAATGGGTAAAAACCAGAAAAAAAAGGGAGGTGGCAGGCTTGTGTGCAACACCAACTCTACTCAGGCTTACCCCTGAAGATGTTCAGGAGACCCCAAGGGGTGCTGGGATCCAACCGGGTTGGGGGCATGAAAGACAAGTAGCTTACCTGCTGTACTGTCTCTCTGGCACCCAAAATTCAAAAATCCTTAAGTTACTAAAACAGAACCCAAAGATCTGGGTGCCACTCAAGGAGCTGGGCACATGCTTTGCACGTAACAGCCCCAGTAAACCTATAAGAAAATCTGCTTCAAATGGGAGCTAATTAAAAGGGACGAAAGCACAGGCTGTAAGTCACCATCTTCAAAGCTGTGCCTTTGACTAGTGATGCCCAGCTCCTCAGCTCAGGCCAGAGATAGAGCAGTAATCCAGTAACTGCACGGAGCCCTGCCTTATCTTTACAGACACACTGCAGGCATAAACTGCATGGATGAATTGAACCGTCAGAAGAGATTACTCACACTTCTCCAATAGGTGCGTAAGTTGACCCCGTTATTGTAAACTCATTAAGGGAGCAAGTATCACCTTCAACTTTGTCCAGGATGAACATCTAGAGAAGAGTGGGAAAAAATTTTAGAAGTCATAAAAATATGCTAGGAAAAAACCATTTCTAAGGAAAAAAGCCCACTAACTGAATCTCAGTACTGTGATATTATCCCTTATTCCCACTAGCTGCTGTTTTAGACAGCATCCACCCACTGACAGCCCGAAGAAAGCTACACCAAGGCACTAAATCGATAAGCAGCAGAAGCACCGAAGACATTAAACACAAGTTGTTAAGGTCCTGCGCCAGTCAATTCCAAAGACAATTTAAAATCTGCCAAGTCCCAAATTGCAAGTTATTGAAAATGAAGTCCTCTAATGACCTTAAAGAATAAAAGTCTAGAAAAAATAAACTTGTATTTTAGAGTTGCATAAATAATCCTGGAATAAGACAAACCGCTTCTATTCTCATGCATTTTTATTGAGGTAATAGTTCGTTTTTACTTATATTTTTGGTTTTGGGGTCACTCTTGGTTGGCAATGCTCAGGGGCCACTCCTGGCTCTGTGATCAGGAATTAATCCTGATGGTGCTCAGAGACCATATAGGATGCCAGCTGGGATCGAACCCAGGTCGGCCGTGTGCAAGACAAATGCCCTCTCCCTCTGCCTTCTCCCTCTGCCTTCCTATTGCCCCAAAAGTCCAGTTTTCTACAAAGTTCATAACTACATGTATAGAATGGGAAGTCTATAGTGCGGAATAAACCAATGTTGCCAAAATCATGCTTAGCAAGTAAGTCTTAATTTTACAGATTGAAATGATAGGAGCGAGCCTTCTTTAACATGAGGGCTGTTAAAGCATTAAAATCCTAAGCACTTTTCTTGGTTTGCTTTCTAGATACAGTTCAGATGGCCACTCTGGAAATCAAAGATTTATGTTTTATAGTAAACCAGAACTATAAAACCTTCTTTTCAAAGTATAAGGAACTGAGGTCAAAGCATGCAGCCAACTGGAGTTTAATCCCCAGTATCTCATGGTCCCCTAAGGCCACCAGGAGTTTTTTCTGACTGTGGAGCCAGGAGTAAGCCCTGAGCACTGTCAGTGTGGCCCTAAGCCATATGATCAAGTGGGTGGGAGGGAGGCCAGGGAGTATCTCAAAGGGCTGGAGTGCGTGCTTTGCATACGCTGGGGTTCCAGCCTTAATCCCCCACAAGGTAATATCACAACCAAGCACTACTGGGGACAAAGCCAGGAAGACCCCTAGGGACCTGCAAAGCGTAGCCAAAAACCTAAAAAAGAGAGCCAGGCAGATAAAATAAGCTTAAGATGAACGCTTTGCACAGAGTTCAATTCCCTGCTTATGATCAGGGCACTGGCCAGGTGCAATCCCGAAATTCCCCAGTACCCCAGCCCTGGGCCCCAGCATCAAGCCACAGGCCCAGATGGCCGAGAATCCCCAACACAAACAAAAGAAAAATCCAGATCCTGTCTTGACTACTTTACCGTGCCCAAATCTCCTGGCATATGCACACTGAGAACACGATCAAGGGGCCCCGGCTGCGGCCTGAGAGACAGCAATCCTCGAAGCACTCCAGATTACCACATGTGGCCCTGTGACACGGCCACCAGATCCCCAAAGAGGACAAAGGGAATAGGACTAAAAGAAACTAAAGATCAAGCTGTTGTTTCACAAAAAGGAAGTTATAAAATGCTAAGCTCAAGTATGAAAATCACATAATCCTTTAGTGGCCAGAGAAGTCGCAGCTGCCGCCTCAAGACCCAGCACAGCAGACACGTAGGGCCCTCCCCACCCCACCACCACCCCACCACCAAGAGCAAGCCGTAATCCTGAAAGAAGAAAACAACAACGAAAAGCCATATAACACTTAAATTTCTTTCCAGAGCACTACAAGACAACACAAAATCAACTCATCTCTATTTTAAAGTAATGTTTTTGGACTATATGCTTGTTACAGTGTATTTTGGGGGAGGGTTTGCTCAGGGGACCATATGGGATGCAAGCTCTGACCCAGGTCAGCTACATGCCAGGGAAGTGCCTTAACTGCTGTACTATCTCTCCAGCACAGCGTCTACTTTTAAACTGCAAGTTTCATTTCCAAGGTAGACTCAGATCTTAAATAAACCTTGAATTTAACAATAGAACAATACAATCTAAAATACATGACAACATCTTTAAGAGATCCCTATTATTACTATTACTATTATTATTATTTTTGTGGGGCACAGAGAGCAGTACTCAGGCATCATACGCAGTACCAGGGAATCAAATCCAAGTTGGCTGTGTACCAAGCAAGCCCATTTCTTTACTGCCTGCATTCTCTCTTGCCCTTAAAGTTTTTACAGATAAAAATATAATAGAAGAAAATTGGAATCACTTCTACAAGACCCATGTTCAAAGTTACATGCAATAAGATCACCAATTTTTAATGTTTTCTGACAAGATACTTAAAAAAAAAGAAAAAAGAAAAAAAAAAGAAAGTTTTGGGAATAGGGGAGTAATACCACAGGTACCTGCTCTGCATGAGGCTGGCAGTGCCCAACAGGAGGGCTCTGACACAGAGTCAGGAATAGGTTCTGACACTGCTGGGTGTATCCTCAAAATAACTTTTTTTTTCCTTTTTGGGTCACACCAAATGTGTGACCCAAAAAGGAATGCACAGGAATTACTCCTGGTTCATGCACTCAGGAATTACTCCTGGCGGTGCTCAGGGCACCATATGGGATGCTGGGAATTGAACCCAGGTCGGCTGCATGCAAGGCAAACGCCCTACCCGCTGTGCTATTGCTCCAACCCCAAAATAACTTTTTTTGAAAGTGGAGGGCAAAACTTTTGCCTCACATGCACTGATCTGGGTTTTATCCTCCAGCACTATATATGGTCTCCTGAGCAAAAACCAAAACTAAGCATCAAGGAGGTTTGTCAAAAGCATCTTTTTAACGAGGAGACCAAGAACGGGAGAAGTTATACTTGGGGCTATAGACTTGTTTTCCAGGGTGTGCGGTGTGGATTTGCTTAAGGAACTGTGTCATGAAGTGCCGGGGAGCAAACCCAGGCATCCCACAAAAATGCATGTGCTCAGCCCACTGGGCTCTCTTTGGCCCTGTGGTCAGTTATTAAATGGGAAAGGACGAGGTCTAACTACCAATCTTCCTGACAGGAGAAAGCCCTGAGCACTGCTGTGTGTGGTCCAAAAACCAAAACACAAAAGTATAACTTTACCTTTCATTTTAAGTTGTGAAAACATGTTATAGCTGTCAAATTCTTATTTCTAAAATGATTCAAGTAAACTCCCAGGTGAAAAAAAAATTATATTAAGTAGTGTCAAAGCAAATGGCATTATTTTCATTCCATCTGTTTGACATTGAAGGTGCTCAGGGGCCATATAGGATGACAGCTGGGATTGAACCCAGGTCGGCCACGTGCAAGACAAATGCCCTCTCCCTCTGCCTTTCTATTGCCCCAGAAATTCAGTTTTCTACAAGGTTCATCACTACATGAATAGAATGGGAAGTCTATAGTGTGGAATAAACCAATGTTACCAAAATAATGGGCTGGGCGTTTGCCTCACAAGCGGCCAACATGGCCGACCCGAGTTCGATTCCTCCGCCCCTCTCGGAGAGCCCGGCAAGCTACCGAGAGTATCTCGCCCGCAAGGCAGAGCCTGGCAAGCTCCCCGTGACGTATTCGATATGCCAGACACAGTAACAACAAGTCTCATGATGGAGATGTTACTGGGCCGACTCGAGCAAATCGATGAACAACGGGAGGACAGTGACCAAAATAATACAGATAAATCATTCTTAGCAAGTAATTGTTGATTTTACAGATTAAATGACAGGAGAGAGCCTTCTTTAACGTGAAGATTAGGGAACTGAGGTCAAAGCATGCAGCCAATCCGAGTTTGATCCCCAGCATCTCATGGTCCCCTAATGCCACCAGGAGTTTTTTTCTGAGTGTAGAGCCAGGAGCAATCCTTAGGACTGCCAGTGTGGCCCTAAGCCACATAATCAAGTGGCTATAGCACTGTAGCACTGTCCTCCCTGTCATTCATCATTTGCTCGAGCGGGCACCAGTAACGTCTCCATTGTGAGACTTCTTGTTACTATTTTTTTTTAGCATATCGAATACGTCACGGGGAGCTTGCCAGGCTCTGTCGTGTGGGCGGGATACTCTTGGTAGCTTGCTGGGCTCTCGGAGAGGGGCGGAGGAGTCAAACCCGGGTCGTCCACGTGCAAGGCAAATGCCCTACCCTCTGTGCTATCGCTCCAGCCCATTCAAGTGGCTACAGAAAGTGAAATGTGGGAGAGGGTAAGAGTACAGGGTTTAAGGTGCTTGCTCTGCACGTGGTTCTCACGGTTAATTCCCGGCAATACATGACCCCTGATCACCACCAGGAACAACTCCCCAGAGGCCCCCACCCCCATGGGTAAAATTGGGTCCATGACAGAGTACCCAATATTCTAATTCTAACCTGCATTACCAGTATCTAAAAATTCATTTGGGCATTTTACAATAAGTAGCCAAGCAAGTAAACCATTTAAGGAACTCTGTGATGAAAATATCCTTAAATCAAGGGCAGTTATGTAATAAATACCACTGCAAGAACCCTCCCTCAGTATAAAGATTAGCATCAGCGGTGCTCAGAGCCTACTCCTAGCCCTGCATTCAGGGATCACTCTAGGCAGGGCTCGGGGGACCATGTATGGTGCTGGGGATCCAACTGAGAACGGCAGGTCCAAAGCAACAGCCCTACCCAGTCTAAGTTTCTCTGGCCCACAAAACCAATTTTTATTGCGATTTCTGTTTTATTCTTAGTTTGAAATCTAATTTGATGTCAATCTTGAAATTAAAATTTAAAAAGTAGTTTTAAGGGGCAAAAGAGAGAATGTGTACAGTGGTTAGGGTGCTTGCCTTGCACACGGTCCTGAGTCTGCCAGGAGTGATTCCTGAGTGCAGATCCGGGAGCGACCCCCGGGAACTGCCGGTTACGGTCCAAAAAAAAAAAAACAATTTTAAAAATTCCTTTGAAGGATAAGAAATAACCTATGGCTTCAGGCATATTTCCTTAAACTGGTCAACCCCATTTGTTTAAAGCACCAAAAATGTGACTGGAAGATACACGGTAGTATACACATTTTCTAGTAGAAGGACTGGGTTTGATCTTTTTGGGCAGGGAGGCTGGGGGGTGGGGCTGGGGGCGTGGGCGGCACATCCAGTGGTGCTCAAGGATCACGCTAGCAGTGCTTGCAGGCCTGTATGGGATGCTGCAGATCAAAACAGGCTGGCCACTTGCAAATTAAGTGCCCTACCACTGTACCAGGTTTCATCCTTGGCACCAGAAGATCCCAACACCTACCTGGAGTAGCCTGCTTAGCCAAGGATCACCAGATGTGACCTCCAGACAAAGCACATGAAATGATACGAGTTTGGGGGGCTGTTTTTGGTTTAGTGTGGTGGTGGCTATTGTGGTCACTGAGCCAGCACTGGGAATCAAACGCAGGGCCTCACACATGCCAGCACTTGTGATGTGTTCCGCCACTGGAGCCATACTCCTGGTCCTCAGACAAAGGCTACGACTGTATGAGGACATGGGCTCAGACGAGCAGCTACACAGGGAAGACTTACCCTGCAGACCGACATCTGGTTTGTCGTAAGAGTACCAGTCTTATCTGAGCAGATGACGGAAGTACAACCAAGAGTTTCCACGGAAGGGAGACTGCGAACAATCGCATTTTTCTTTGCCATTCTTCGAGTTCCCAGAGCAAGGCAGGTGGTGATGACGGCAGGCAGTCCTTCGGGAATGGCCGCTACGGCCAGGGCCACAGCGATTTTGAAGTAGTAAATAGCGCCTCTGATCCAGGAGCCGCCGTGAACCGGGTCATTGAAGTGGCCGATGTTTATGATCCAGACGGCAATGCAAATGAGGGAGATGACTTTGGACAGCTGCTCCCCGAACTCATCCAGTTTCTGCTGGAGGGGTGTTCTCTCCTGTTCTGTGGCCACCATCTCATCCCGAATCTTGCCGATTTCAGTGTTAACCCCGGTTGCCACCACCACGCCCATGGCTTTGCCGGCAGCAATGTTTGTCCCCTGAAGGAGAGAATTGTTTTAGTGTATAAACAGCACACCCAACAAGTACGGACTGGCAAGCGCCAGTTTATCACCATCCAGTTACTGGAGTACCCGGCTGCTTCAGCACCTTCTACTGTGTCTTCCTGCAGCCAGTACTAGAGCACCCAGTCGTTTCAGAGCCTTTTATTGGGTCTTCCTGTGGCAGCTATTCGGGCAACCAGTCATACAACTTCCACAATGACTAGAAGCTCAGGTAGGCAACATGGCACAGCTCTCCCTGAGTCTCACTTCTTGTGGCACCCACTCTCCGAAGCAGCTCTACACTGACCCGTCTGAAATTCCAACCACAGTCAGACTAGCTCTGGGCCGAAGCTGGGCTCCCCACCCACCCACCCACCTTAGCAAGGATGGAATCCTGGTTAAGCAAGCAAGGCAGTCACTTTATCCTTGACCCCCAACCTGGAGCACTGCTCTCCAACCCTCTGATGTCCCCAATTTTTCAAGCCATTTACAACTCCCAACCCTAAACGTTATCCCATCTCTGATTCCAACCCTCGGGGGGAGCAGAGTGCTGTGAATTAAACCCAGGATCTCCCCATACTGAGTCACGTCTCCAGCCCCTCAAGCTCTACCTTTTATTGAGGAGGTGCCACACTCGGCAGTGCTCAGGGGGTCATATGGGAAGTCGAGGATTGAACCCGAGGACTGAACACGAAGCACCTTCCGGCTCTACGATCTTCCTGGCCCCTTGACCACTGCTACTGTTATTGTCCTGAATTACCATAGGAGGTTAAGTCCTCATACTAAATCACAAACACCTACCAAATGAATTATCTTATATCTTAAAGTTCCACATAAGCAAGACATATAAATGTCCCAACTATTTCAAAAAAATTTTACGAAAAAAAAATTAATAAACCTTAGACCTTAGGATCTTGTTTAATACCACCTGTTTTATGTCAGGGGATACACTAGAAGGGAAACAGGAGGATGCCCTAAGCACCATTGGGCGTGGCCCCAAAACAAAAGAAAAAACCTTCGAAAGCTTGCCAACTGAAAGAAAAGACCTCACATTCAACTATTATATATAATTAGTGTATCTTACACCTCACACAGGCCGCACACTAAAGTCTGACTATTTAAAGTAATGACAGGGGAAAAAAAAAAATCAGACTTAACTTCGAGACTATCTCCAAATAAAAATATATTTAACACATTTTTTAGAGGGTCAGAGCGATAGTGCAGTGAACAAGGTGCCTGCCTTGCATGTGGCCAACCAGGGTTTGATTGCCAGCACCCCAGTTGGTCCCCCGAGCCCTGCAAGGAGGGACTCCTGAGTGTGGAGTGACTGGGAATGGGCCCCCAAAACAAAACAGAACAAATAATAAATTTCTTACAGAGAAGAGCATGTTCTTTTTGTCCTGGTTGACAGCACGTGGATCAGGGACAGGGTCAGTGTGCTTGATGACGGAGACTGATTCACCTGGTCGGGAAAGACAATGGTCAGATCTATGCAAGGACACCTGGGACGACACACTGACCCCATGCCACTGCGGCTCTCACAGAGCCAACAAGATGAACAGGAAAATTTAGCAATACAATTGAATTTCAGAGCAAAGAAAGCTCAGAAAGGAAGATATTTAATTACCTTAATTTCTTTTATAATTAACTCCTCAAATTTTTTTATTTATAGCTATCACTTGATATACTGTGACCATATTGTGTATCCGTTGCATGCTTAGTATACTCATATATTTGCTTTGAGGGCCGGAGCGATAGTATGGCAGGTAGGGCACTTGCCTTGCACATGACATATCTGGGTTAATTCCCTGACATACAAGGGTCTCCCGAGCACTGCCAGGAGTAATTCCTGAGTGCAGGGGCCACTCAAGCATCACTGGTGGCCCAAAAGTAAAACAAAAAGAGTCTATTTACTTTTAGTCGATAATAGAGATACATTATATGAATAATGATTATTAGCTGGAAATTTGCTTTACTAATGCCAAATAGCAAAATTAATGGTTTTCTTTCCCATCATGCTTGGCAACTTGGCAGTGAGTGCTCAGGACTCAGGACTCGTGACTCTGCACACAAGGATCACTGCTGGCAGGCTTCAGGGACCATGAAGTGCCAGGGATAGAACCAGAGTTGGCTGCATGCAAGGCAAGTATCTACCAGCTGTACTGCAGCCTCGGTTTGTTTTAAATTTACATAGTAAATATATGGGTGTGACCCACTAGCTAAGAAAAGAAGAGAAAAACTTGAGCTTTTGTAAGATTACAGAGGCTTTGAGAAAAAAGCCAAATTGCTACAAACTGTTATTTTTTTGATGGGGGGGCTTACTCCTGGTGGGCTTGGGGCACTATATTGGGTGCCAGGGATTGAACCCAAATCAGCTGTGTACAAGACAAGCTCCCTATTTACTCTGTCCTTTTTTAAAGTGAAACCTTCAAACTCCATGTATGGGGGTCAGGTGGGGGAAGAGAGGAATGATGCTAATTGATATTTCATTAAAAAATAACTATCGGAGGGGGTATGGTGCCACCAGCAGGTCAATTTGTACCTGTGAGGCGAGTGCATCAGCAGCCTCATGGCGCCTTCTGACTTCCAGATACCCCAAAATTGCTGCTGTGCCTTTGGCCGGACCCCAAAAACTTGGGGCAAAGTTTACCAAGAAAGTAAACGGCCAAAAGTTAGGTATGTGGGAAACACACCCACAAACCACCTCCGGCTCAGCTATATATAATTGGAAGCAAGGCCTCTTTGGTTCCTGATTGAACTGCTTAATGGCCATGATGGCCATGATCCCAGAGACGGAGAAACGAATCTCGGAACCCAGCGGCTTTAGGTAGAAATGCGTCCGGTCCCTGCAGTAGGCTACCAGTGCTGGGCCAACCCAGGTGGGAATAGGTTTCGTGCCTTGGCCTGTTCCCCCTGGCAGCCCAGTGGCCGCCATCCTTCAGAGGCCACTGGATAGTCACATTTGGGCCCCCAGTGACGAGACATTCTTCAGAGGCCACTGGATAGTCACATTTGGGCCCCCAGTGAGGAGCCGGGCCTGTCCTCCCCACCCCAACGAGACCCCAAGTCATTGCCCACAAATGGCCTCTCTGGCTCCTGATCCAGCTGCTTAACGGCCATGATCCCAGAGACTCAGAAACAAATCTCAAAACCCAGTGGCTTTTGGCAGAAATGCATCCGGATCCCACAGTACATTATTGTCGCCGGGCCACCCCAGGGAAGAAAGGCTGTTGTCCCTCCGCCTGCTCCCTCTTGGCGGCTTGGTGGCCATCATCCTCCAGAGGCCACTGGACAGTCAGGCTTGGGCTGCAGTGACTAAACTTGTTGGGCCTCACGGGATGGGGTGGAGCTGGGCCTGTCCTCCCCAACCCAACGAGACCCCAAGTCATCGCCCACAAACGGCCTCTCTGGCTCCTGATCAAGCTGCTCAACGGCCATGATCCCAGACTCAGGAGCAGATCTCGAAACCCAGTGGCTTCTGGCAGAAATCCCTCCAGATTTAAGTGTTAAAATTTCGGAATTTCAAAACCACATGGCCTTACTGCAGCCACACGACATCATATGTTATTCATAACCAGCAATAGAACACAAATTGTCTATTGTTGCCTTTTCAGCAGATCTGATTGTTGGGGTAAAATCTCAAATAATGGTGGGTCTGGTGTCGAAATATTGAATGTGATCAAAGTAGAGAGAGAGTAATGTGGAAATCATCTGCCCCACAGGTAGGGGGAGGGTGTGGGATGGGGGTATACTGGGGTTTTTGGTGGTGGAGAATGGGCACTGGTGAAGGTACGGGTGTTTCATTGTATGACCGAGACTTAGACCCAAAAGCTTTGTAACTGTTCTCACGGTGATTCAATAAATAAAATTATAAAAAATGAAAAAAAAAACTATCGGGAAAAGGATCCCTACTGTAAACCTTAAAGGGAAGAGTTACAGACAGACAGTGAGTTCTCAGGCTTCAGGAGATCAGAGTCCTTCCAATGCACGCTGTTTACCTGTGAGGATGGACTGATCAACTCTTAGAGTAGTAGATTTGATTGAAGTTAATCTGATATCAGCAGGAACTTTGTCACCAACTAATTGGGGAGAAAAAAAGCAACTAAAGTTAACAAATTTTTATAACTGTTCCACAAAGATGAATTTGTTTCCAAACAAAACACAATACTAAAACAAAATAAAAGTAATCTGTTGAAATAAGCAAAATAAACAACTTTTTTGAGGGGGAAGGCCACAGTAACAGAAAAGTTTATTGGAAAGCAGAAGGGAAAAGCAAAGAAATTCTCCAGCCAGGGAGGAACTTAGTATAGAACCAAGTTTGCAAGATAATCAACAATGAATCTTGCTAGGTATGAGATTTGAATCACACACCCCTACTCGCACAATATGGTGAGGGCATTGAGCCATATAATCTCAATTTTATTTCCATAGAGACCTTTAAGAACTACCATTTTTAATTTTGATTAGGTAAGGGTTCACCTTGGAGACCTGCTGTGGATATGGGTACGGCCCAGCGCGAGATTTGCACCCTCTCCCCCGGATTTTCAAGGGCCAGCAAGAGCACGCAGGACGCTGCCGAAACTGCAAGGCTTTCCAAGCTGGAGCGCTAGCACAGCGGTAGAGTGTTTGCATTGCGCGCAGCCAGCCCGGTCAAGCTGGGTTCGATTCCTCCACCCCTCTCGGAGAGCCCGGCAAGCTACCGAGAGTATCTCACTACCCGTGACGTATTCAATATGCCAAACACAGTAACAAGTCTCAAAATGGAGACGTTACTGGGCCTGCTCGAGCAAATCGATGAACAACAGAAGAACAGATAAGGGTTCAAACTTAGGGCCTCACACATGTAAGGTAAGTGTTCCACTACTGACCTATGTCCCGTCCCTAGCTGAAGAGATAAACTTCTTTTATCAAATTGACATGCAGGATTTGAGAAAATGAACCACATTTGCAAAGATATATGAAACAAGGACTTTGGTATTGGGGTCATATCCATCAATGCTCAGGAGACCATATGCAGTACTGGGGGTCAAAAAGGCATGTGTTTCAGCTCACTGAGCTGTTTCTCGGATTCCTAGAAACAAGCCTATTAAAACTCCAGTTTTAGTAAGTGCAAAAAAGAAACGAAAATCAGAGGCACAAACCCTCTGGTCCAACAATCAGGTATATATAAGCAGAGATAGTGAGAATTCTGTCGGCACACTAATGAGGGCAGACTGAACAATGCCACTGATACACAATACAATACTCATAGTTCACTGTTTAATTCACTTACTCTTCCAAACTTTGAGACTACTCCACATAAACTACAATCAAGAAAAAACGGCTACCGAAGTCTCTGGAGAACAATTTGGTAACGTATTTACCCTATAAATTCCACCACCAGTACCCTATTAATTCCAACAGAAAGAATTTATTCTAAAGTTATGGCCACATAATATGTGGTTACAGAATTTGCTAACAAAATAAGTCAACACTCCTACATACTAAAGTGAAAATTTCCTCTAGGATATACTGTATATTAAGGAAAAAAAGTCGAAGTGCGAATCATCTATATGGTTGTATCAGCATAGATACATCTCATCTATATACGGTCACCAACCACTTATCGCAACTGATGCCTGGAAAGGTGATAGAACAAACTGCTAACATTCAGCAGCTGCAGAAGGTGGAGGGAGACTTTTTACCTTGTGCCCTTTGTACCTTGCAAAATTCAAACGATCAAATTATGAAATAAACAAACCTCTTGCATAATCTCTAGAAGATCTGTGAAGTATGTATATGTATGTTTTTATGTGTTCCTGGCAGCACAGTTTCTAGAAAAGTAAGCCCTGAACACCGCCCCCTTTCACAAAGAATAGTTTGCTTTTGTGGTTTTTAAACTACAGTTTGCAAAACAACTCTATAGGTGTGGGGCTGGAAAGACAGTACAGCAGGTAAGGCTCCTGCTGTGTACGCTGCCAGCAGTTAATCTCGGAGCACAGAGCCAGGAGTATGCCCTGAAAGCTGAGTGTGGGTGGTCCCACCATCAAAATGAAAAGCAACCCTGTGGCCTAAGCAACAGGAAATGCGGTCACAGGATGTAACAGACTGTCAATATATAATCTCTCGAGGCAAAGATCATCCCGAGCCTGACTGCAGGGACACACTAAGGTGAAACTCCTGCTGGAAATGGAAAGGCTTATGCAATGAACAGCAATATTCAAACTGAGTAAACCAGAACCTTTCACTGTAATTGTTCATACATACTGTAATGAAGCCACCACTAAAGTTGAAAGCTTTAGTGACCTACACAGCTAAAATGCCATAATTAAAATAAAAATTAAAAATGTGGGGCTGGAGCAATAGTACAACAGATAAGGCTTTTTTGCCTGGCTCATGGCCGACACAGGTTCGATCCCCAGCCCAGAGCCCACCAGGATAATTCCTGAGTGCAGAGCCAGGAGTACCCTCTAAGCATTGCCAGGTGTGACCTAAAAAAGTTTTTTTGTTTTTAAAATTATTTCTTAAAAAAAGAACTGATACATGCTTATTATAATTAATGTGACTCTACATGCCCTGGAACATGGAAAAAACATCATCACCATGCACACGTGCAGGTGGCTTGGAAGTGGCTCAGTTCCCCGCCTTGTAAGCACGAAGACTGTTAGTCTGCCCCTGGTGCCTCCACATGCGCTGAGAGCAGTGAGCTCCCACAGCTTTGCCGTGTTCCTCGCACTAGCGATTCCACTTCTAGGCAACTGTCCCCACAAACACAAAACATCAATCTAAAAAGATATGTGCACACCTGTTTCCCTGCAGCTTTGTACAACAGCCAGAATAAGAAAGCAACGCAAATGTCCAACAACAGATGAATAAAGGTGTCATATATATACATAACACAATGTTATGTAGCCACAAGAAATATAAAGCCATGTAGTCTGCAACAATTTGGATGGAATTGCAGGATATTTAAAGCTAGAGGCAAATGAATGGATATAGCATCCCTAAGGAAAAAGAAATCTTTATTTTTCTTGAAAAAAAAATATGTTAGGGATCTAACCCAGGCCTTTCACATGCATAAATGAGCTGCAGTACTGTCCTTCAGTCACCCACCGGACCTAGGAAAAAAAAAATTTGGAGGGCTTTTTTGAGTCATACCCAGAGATGCTCAAGGCTTGCTCCTACCTCTGCATTCAGGAATTACTCCGGGTGGTGCTCAAGGGACCATATGGGATGCTGGGGACTGAACCCGCGTTGGCCGTGTGCAAAGCCAACACCCTTCTCGCTGTACTATCGCTCCAGCCCCAGGAATCCATCTTTATGGCCTTTCCCGCACTAAAAAACTAAATGCATGTGCTCTGCATGCAAGAGTCCTATGTTCAACTTGGCACCACAGTCAAAAGCAGACCCCGAACACTGCTAGCTGTCTGTGGCCCCAGATCCAAAGCCAAAACCACAAATCCTGACATATTCCAGTATTCTCCTAGCTAGATAGACCTCACATCGGTTACACCAATTCATGCCCTCCCTTCAGACAAAAAACTCATGCTAGAAAATAAAAGGAGGCTTGCATAGGAACTTTCATTAACAGGAAGCTTGTGTGATGGCGACACTTATTGGGGCATTCACTGAGTGAAAGTCCCCAGGAAATGAAGATTCAGCTCACACTTGGGGCTTCTGCACGCGGGAGTACTCAGCATGCTCTGACGATTGTTCCCGGAGGTATTTCCTTGACAGGGAACGTCAATGCCCTCAAGCAAGCGGGAGTGGAAAATTCTCACTCTTGCCAAAAGGATGTTGGGCAATTTTTTCCCTTTATCCTCCCCAAATTTTCCCAATGTCTTTTGGGTTCAATAGACTAATAATTAAACAATAAACTGTTTAAAAATATGTATACCTCCAAACTGTTGAAGACTGGACATTATTCAGGGCTGGAGCTAAAATACAGCAGGTAAGGTGCTTGCCTTGCACACAGCCAGCCGCCCTGGGTCCAACTGCCCACACCCTGAGCCCACCAGTACAAGATTCCTGAGTGCAGAGCAAAGAGTAGCTCCTGGGCAGCACCCAGGTATGCCTAAAACAATGAAAACAAAAAAAGTGACATTTTCCAAATTCAACTCCTGGCTCCTAAGTCTGACCTGCTATGAGAATATACATTTACTCAGAACAAAATCCCCAGCGTCTGTCTATTCTGGGCTAAGGTTATCAAGAATAAAAGTTGGCTGAAGGAATTACTCTGCCCATTTCAGAACTGAACACAGGCTTTACCTTAAAGCCTAGGAATTGGGGCCAGGGATGTGAGCGCCAAGGGCCAGTCTGCTAGCTCCATCCGGGGAGGCTGGGTCAGACCCCCAGAGCCCAGGGTTGAGCAGCCTCTCCCTGGGTGCGCCCGACAAAACCAGCTCATCTAGGAATGTTACACAACCCTGACATGTCAAGAATATTGTGCCTTTTTTGGTTGTTTGTGCCACACCTGAGTGCTTGGGGGGACCATATGGGGTGCTGGGGATCAAACCTGAACCACATGCAATGCAAATACCCACTGAAATATTGCTCTGGCCTTGTGCCTTTTTTCCCCGTTTTCACTTTTTGGGTCACACTCGGCAATGTTCAAGTTCCCTGTCGGTGTTCAGGGGACCATATGGGATGCCAGGGATTGAACCTGGGTCAGCTATGGAAGGCAAATGCTCTTCCCACTGTGCTCTGGCCCTGCCCCCATGTGTCTCAAGTTAAAAATTAAATATTCGGTTTAAATCACCATTTTCCAGAAAAACTTTGTGAATGGCTCATACAGAAAGGAAGAAAATATCTAATTTACCGTGACAAATTGCAAAGTTAGTCAGATATTGTAAAAGAGAAAAATACATAGATCAGAAACGACCTCCCGAGTACCTCCACTGTTCGGTATTTTTCTAGGAAAATGCTAGCCACAATAGAAATCAACCTAAATTAAACATTCAACTATGACTCAAACATTTTCATCTGTTCAAATCTGAGTCATAACTTTTGCTCCCTGAGAAATCACTCTTGTCTAATACAAACTCTCTCCTAGAAGCCATGATAGGGTTAGGGAAACATGCAGGCTCTTGAATCCGGTTCA